GCCAGTTTACATCCTAAAACTGCACTCTCATTTTAACTGAACCATTGTTATGCCCTCATTCAACATCCTATTTCAACCAAAATGTGTCCTGCAAAAATGATGCATGTATTAACCCAGTAAAAAGCAAACCAATACGGTATATTGAGGGCTTACGTTGTGGTGATGATCTCATCTCTGGTTCTCCTGATCAGCAGGACTGGTCCCTGATATCTGGAGGAAGAGAAAGAGTTATGTTAATCATCAGCCAGATCACTGTGAGCTGCGCCAACAAAAGTTACACAATTACACCCCAATATGTTGCGTAATGTTCAATGATGCAGACTTTGACTTTTCTGATTAGTGTTCACTATAAATAGACTGTCCCACTTACTTGAGAAGCTGCTCAGCGTTGTTGAGGTTCATGTACTGCCTAACTGTGTATTGTACCAACGGTCCTAAGAGAGAACAAGGATATTTCAGCTGCTAAAAAAAGATACCTGCTGCAAACAATTAATAGGGTTTATGCTATCCCGTAACGCCTTGGACTTACTCCAGCTGTCGGGCATGACCTTGAGGGCCAAAGGCAGGAGGTCGTCAAAGGAGGCATCCAACACTAATGACTGGATCTCTGGGTATGACATTACAGCCCAGCTAGCTACAAAACGAAATGGAGAGATAGAGAGACAGAAAATCAACAACAGGGATTTAAAGAAACCAGTAAAAACACGATTCACATTTTATAGCATATAAAAGTGACCTTAATGTACCTGTGAATCCTCCAATGGACCAGGCATATATGACAATGTCATTGAGCTGGAAGCCCAGCTTGTGTATTGCAAACTGGATCACTACATCCATGGCATTGGCCTCGTTCTGGGGGAAGGGCACTCCCTGGCAGAAAGTAAAAAAAAAAGCAATATCCATGCATTATTAAACATGGCAGTAACACTCAACCACCTACAAAACCATTCACTTCCACGGAGCTAACAGATTTACAAGGTTTCATTCCACTCCACTGATAATATCGACCCAGGGAGTGTACTTGCCCTCTTGTGCAATACTGTCCAACTGAAACCAGAATTTCCACATGTTGTTTATTCCACTGTGTTGTTTGTGTATGGAACACACAGGCATACACTGTGGTCTAACTAATGCTGGTTTATGGATTAAAAGTAGTACCAAATCTGACAACACCACTTACCGTACTGCCTCCAAAGCCAGGGTGGTTCCAGCCCAGTACAGAGTATCCACCTACAGAGCACATCAACACAAGATTTAACTTAAAAAAATGTAACTAGCATTATGAAATATCTTGAATGTTGTGCAGAAGAGGATCCCTCACCCTCCAGTGGAGTGTTCATGCAGCCCACCTCATAGAAACCTGCATTCCCCTCACAGCAGATGACCTGTGGCAGAATTCATACATTTCAAAAACCAAAACACAATGTGACTGATGTGACACAAGTTTTGTTGGACCCTGGAAGAAGCCCAAGGCACAAAAACAGCAAATCATTGCAGACATTTACCAGCGTTTGGCCAGTCTGTCCCCCATCTTGCCTTCGATCCACAAACATTGTGTCGATCTCATTACCATCGCAGGCCACAAGCTTGTTCCTTTGGCCGTCAAACTGTAACAAAATGGAGAGAAATTGACAGAGAATGATAATCAGTATTTATTCGAGCGAGTAGTTAGAGAATGAGTGTGTGTGGTTTTATTTTTTTACCTCCTCTATTAACTTAGCCTGGCCTTGCTGGAGCATGGGCCTCATGGCTTTCTGCAGTAAACCTACGGAGCCAGGGTACAGCATCCTCCTCCCAAATGAGTGGGCAATGAGAAAACTGGAGAGGAAGAAAACAGATATGATGACACTGTAACAACTTCTGGAAAAATGTGACTGAATATGGGGTGAAATAAGATGCAAACCTACTATAAAGCAAACTGTATCCATCCCCTTACTTGATACTAGTTACAAATCTGCAGTCAGAGCCTTCATTTTTGGATCATGCTGCATAAACTGCATTTACCTGATAATGTGGCATGGTAGAGTGCGCACAGAGTTGAGGACACTGTCTGCTGCTCCCCTTAATCTGGGCTCTGGCTTTAGCAGAGAAACACCAGCCTTGGATAGTTTCCTGTCACATACAGAGTCAAAGGCTTGCAATGAAACAGATAAGCAACAAAAGGATTTTAATCCAATGTACTTCACAGTGCTTTTAATGCATATATTTACAATGAACTGACCCTGATAGGAACAGAATGACAGTGAATACACATGGCCTTTTCAAATGGCAATAAAATAGAAGAGCAAAAACACTTACGGATTGTTGACTTCTGTCCAGTTGAAATCCGAGGGCCAGTACGAGAAGTCAAAGTCATAGCACCTCACATTTTTCTACATGGAAAGCAGAAACAAAAAAGAAATTGTCCCTTAAGTTAAGGTCTGATGTAATGTAACTATTCTTGTCTCCTCGCTAGCCAAACCATTCTACGAATACCGATAGCAAATTCTGATGTTCAGTACTTTAGTACTCAAGTTGCCGTGGGCTCACCTTGTTTTCTGGTGTGTGATTCTTCTTAGTTGCTTCAAGAATGGAAATAAACTGAAGATACTCTAAGTTTTTCCATCTCTCCCACCCTTGAGGAGAAAAGGCAAGGAAGAGGGAAGAGCAAAACAATGAGTGATATACGTGCAAACACAAAAAACATTTAGCTACAAAGCCTCAAGGGTGCAATTAGTATGCTTTGAGGGTGGAGACCTTGTGCAACTGCCTCGATGTTAAGCAAATCTTATTGGCATGCAGCACATACAGCATATGTTGTGATATCTAAAAATGGAAGAATTGAATTACTCGTTGCCTGCCAGTCAGTTGAAATCTGTAGCCTCACCTCTAAGACAGGCCACTCCTAGAAGACACACCAGCACTGTTCCCAAATACTGACTCACAGGAACCAGCTTACTGCTGCAGATGTAACCTAAAAATACACAAAGCAACAGTGACACAGACATCCACATAACCCCCCTCTTTCTCTGCCAGACTTGAGCCTCATTAATAGGCACCAATACAAACATTCACAGTCTGACAACTACCCTACAACCACATGCATAAATCAATATCAAAAGCTCAATTATACACTAAGGAGTAGCAAACAACTTTAAGCAATTAGTTTCTATTGATGCATAGTCTTGCTGGATGATTCAGTTGATTAACTTTATATTAATCCCACTTCTAGGGGAACCGCAGCTCCCAAGAACATCCTCCAGTAGCAATTTTTCTTACTTAATGGAAGGAGAAATGTCATCCGGAAAAAAAATACATATTTTGACATATGTCACTGTCAAACCTTCTAAAAAAAAAAAAAAAAAGACTTTGACTGAAATTTGTCAAGCTCATGTTCGAAAATAAGTTCAGGTTACTTCAGTTCTTCAGTTTTTACAATTTGCTATTCTGGGAGCAGGGGTTGTTTACAAGGAAATAGGACTGGGAAATGAGGTTGACATCATTAACATGATATTAATCTGGTTATTTTCCAATATACAGTAGATAGATACAGACAAATTAAAAGGAAAAATCCTGAATGAATGAGTGGAGAAACTTAACAAATGCAGATGTTTTCATACAGGACATGAGGGGTGATTGAATAAAATAAAAATAATGTGAATCAACTGAACACAAGGGTTCCTGAGACTAGGAGGTTTATATTGTTTTTTTGCTTTAAATTGTCACCCATCTGTATATATCCTATATATAACTGATGGTCAAAGCCATTTACTGTGTTATAGTTAGATTAGTTACACTACATGTATCCAAAAAAGAAAAGTGTAATTACACCTAGATCAGAATCTCTTTCATCATGATTTTATTTCACTAAAATTCAAATATTAGCTATAATAATGAGTTATCACAAAGGCCTTGATTGTTTCCTTTTCCTCCGTGGAACACAAACTCATATGAGATATTATTTCTGTCAATTCTCTTAATCAATTGATTAACACTTTGGTTTATAAACATCTGAACATATAGAAACGTTTCCAAGAGCCCAATCTGTCCTTTTTTGTCCAACAGCACAAAAATATTCAATTTACAAAAACATAAAATAGAGAAAACCAAGAAATCCTCTCATTGGAGAAGCTGGAACCACAGACAGTTTTCCTGATTAATTCTCAGTTGATGAACTGATAATACTAACATAATAACAATAACAGATAACAAACATGATCCACACAACCTACCTTTCCTGTACAGATAGCAGAGGAGAAGAGGAGAGCTGTAATAGGACAGAGACCACAGTGCTGAAGCCTGGAGGGAGAAAACAAACAAATAAATAGACTTAACAAAACTTATATCGATATAATCACTAATGCAACCATACTGACCCAGCCGAGGATGCTGTCAGTGTGTTTCTCCAGAGTCCTGGGTTGGTAGCTCCATCCCTGCGAACAGTGAGAGAGCTAATGTTAGCACTGACTGTACTTACATCAAACAGAGGGTTATAATAACTCTGCACCGCCTTTACACTGGCTGTTAAAGCCAGCACTTATTCTTATTATTCGTTTTTATGTTCAGTGTCTATCTTTTCCTCTCCACGTCTTAGCAGAGCTTCCTCTCACCTAGCATTAGCACAAACCAGGTCACTGAGGAAACCAATGTGTGAAGCACCAGAGAGTAACTGAGCATGAAAAGACAAACACTTCATTCATTCATTCATTCATTCATTCATTCATTCACCCAGTGTGAGCCCGGCTGTGCAGTGCGGTGGGGTTTCAATAACAAACAACCTGACACTTCCGGGACGCAGCCGGAGCCACATCGATGCTAACCAGATTAACTTCTGTTCAGTTCCCGCAGTCGGCTGCACTCAAACATGTGAAACACACTTTATATACTCATACCCTCCTCCCTGCCCTGCCGTCGGTCCGAGACTGGTCCGGTGACCGGTGAATTCGTTGTAAATGAGGCCCTAAAACACAGCGGAGCCACATCCAGCCGGCCATTCTTCCACTGTGAGGACTACGGAAGCCCGCACTGATCAGAAAGTCTCAAAAAAAGCGAAAGCGCTCAGAAAGTTTTTGGGAAAGAATGTGACAGGCAGCAGCATTATAAGATAACAATGTTTATTTAGAAGTGTTTGTATTTAAATACAGAAAGGTACAAGACAACCGGTACAATACCAAATGTTTAAGAAAATAAGTGTTAAGAAAACCAGTGAAAAGGACAATATAACATATTAACTTACACACATTTGATACTAGGTTTAGAGAGGCTTGTGTGAAAATCTTTCCCCTTCTCCACCATGTGCAGCTCCAAAACATGACAATAATAAACTACTTAATAAAAGTAGTAGAGCAATAGCTTATAATGCAAAAAGCAAAAACAATAAAAACAATAGAGTTGCATTTTCCCTGAAGCATTGAAGTTCTTCACATCCCAACTCTGACATTCAGTTGTTACTTTTGTTTATAAAGGCCTTCTGCTACAGCTGGGAACTGAGCGGATATGACAGCTGGATGAGGATGAGATGTGGGTAGGTGATCAGCTCTGACACTGTTCGGATCTGAAAACAGAGCACAAAGACAAACTAGCACAAAAATCTCCCGTCCCCCAGTCTCTTTTATTCTTCCTTAAACACAAACACAGACATCCCACGCAACAACAACACATGGGCGAAGGAGCACTGCCTGTCAGCACATGGCGTGATATTATGCCACTATGTCAGAGTGATGTTCAGGCCAGCGTGATTGGTGAGTGTGAGAGGAATGTGAGGGGCAGATGAGTGACAGTCCAAACACAAACACACACATTATCACACACACACACACAAAAACAGTTCAACATACAAAAACACACACACAGGTGATGCAAGGCTTTCTGCTTACCGCTCCAGTTCCTTATAGACATCATCCTCTCCTCTCGGCTTCAAATCCTGGCATAAAGGAGATAAGGGGGAGGGAGGTAGGGAGGCAGGGAAAGAGTGGTACAGTGAAGAGGATGATAAAGAGCAAGAGATCCATGCAACTGAGGCTAGATTTATGCCCATCTACACCCTGTGTAATGAGATTGATTTGTTAATACCACTAATGTTAGGGTGGCAGTTGATAGGCAATGGGTTTATCTGAGAGGGGGCTGACAGATTGGGGGAGAAGACTGCAAGTGTGAGGGAAGACATATCTGCTGACAGCTTAGGGAGGGAGCAATACAGAGAGTGAGAGTCTGTATGCATTGGCAGATGTGCGTATCACAACTCCTCACACACACACACGTGCACCCTGCCTCTGTGTGTGCGCAGGGGACGACACAATAACTCACCATGTATACTGAGCCCTCGGGAGGAGCCTGTTGGGAAGGGAGGAGAGCGTAGAAAACAGGTTTAATGAACAACAAGTGACAGAGAGGGAGGGATAGTGGAAATTGGAGGAAAAACAGAAAAAGAGTGCACAATAGAGACCAGACAGAAAAAGGGGAGGGGAGGGTGAGAGAAACAAAAAGAGAAGAGATAGAGTTATAAATACCAGATGAGAGGAGTGGGACAGGGGAAGATGGGGGTAAAATGAAAAGGGGGAAATTCATCAGAGGATATTTAGTAATTTGTAAATGTCTGAATTCATCACCTGTCTGTAATCCTCAGGATTCTCATAAATGTTTTCTGCTTCACCTGATTGGACAGACAGGGACTGCTCAATACCTGAGTGAAGAGAGAGAGAGAGAGTTACCAATACAGTGTCTCACACACACACACACTGAAATGCACAGGGAGAGAGGATGTGGGGGCAGATTCATTACAACAACCCCAGAGGATGTCACGGCCCACATCACTCAGTCGAAGCCGACAGGGGCCGAAGATGGACGGAACACGAAGAGCTGTCAAAAGAGAAAACGCCGGAAGACTCACCGCGTTCAGAAATGTGTTTCTGTCTCCATAGCAACACACAGACAGCCGCAGCAACCAGGGGCACCAGGAGTAATAAAGCAGAGAGAGAAGGGAGCAGGGAGGGGGTGGTCACACTGACACTCTCTACAAAAGGAAGAAAAAAAGTGATATAAAAAAGCATGAATGTTTCCAAGAACAGTGTTAATATAAAACTTGTAGAGCTATGAGTGTGAGTGGTTGAATGACATAAAGAGAAGTTATTCCTGTTTGTTCTCCAGTTTCAAGTTAAGAGGGGGGAAATCTTTTTTTTTTTTTAACATGAACACTTCAAGCTATGGATTTAAAGACATGTTTCGGTTGAGATTTCCTCAACATGTTACATGCATTTGCATCATGCTGCTGTCGAGTCACAGACAATGGGTGCAGTGGAAGAAGGTGGGGAAATCCAGGCTCTGTCAGACAGACTGAATAGTCTGTATGACAGCTCAGTAGACATCGATCTGACAGACCTTAAGTCTGGACAGTAAACGCTGTCAATTTGAAAACGTGGTCGAGGAGAAGAAAAGCACCAGTATCAAAGAGACCATATGTTGTCAGATCATTGCACAAAACCTCAGCAAATGCCACTTCCATAGAGAGTAGTTCGATCTTACTTTTTTTGCAAATCCTATGTATCTATTCCCTGTCTCATCTAATTATGTACATAGAGTAGGTAAAGTCAGGAGAGGCTTTTCCATGCACACTCCCTTGACATCTAATCCTAGGTAACAAACTGCCTCTAGACAAAATGACAAACAATGTAAATAAATATCAGTCTTTCAGCCAAATTCTATCAACGCAGCATTGTAAAACAGGTGGATAGAAAGCGTAGGCGTGACTATTACAAGCATTACATAAGCTAACCATTTGCTCACTGTAGCACCAGTCAAATTTTGTAGGAAGAGCTCACGCGTGTGATCAAACTTGTCAGGTCGGTTTGCATAATGAGGATGACATCAGTGTTGCAAAACACAGCCACAGGGTGACACGAGAAGCAGGAGGGAGGTACTTGTTTCCACAGAGACTGATGTAATTTGGTGTACCTGAACAAGTGTTCTGTCGCTGTCTGCTCACTGTACATGGAGCACAAAGCAATCAGCTCTGTCAGGCATCTTTGGTTTGCAAAAGAGAAGCCCAATAAACCAAATGTACTACAGAACTACCAAAACAGACTTATGGAATCTGCTTCATTTTTAAACAATTCATACCATGTCTTTTTGTGGCGTTGGAGGTCATCTGATGGGCAGAAACGTAGAAAAGTCTACTCATCAGACAGTTTCCACAAATTTTGTTTGTAGAAGGATTGGCCCTCTGGTTTCACCTTAGCCCTGGTGTCACAACTTTTAGCCGGCTTAAAAAATAATCAATCATTATGTTCTATGTGAGGTGTAATTGATTGGTGAGTATGTGTAGAGGTTGCTAATGGAATATTGTGGTGAGTGCTGACCCCAAGACTGACCTGCACTGTTCTCCTTGCCAGCTTTAACACATGATTTATGGTAATTGAGTGCAGTGAGGCATAAATGCTCCCAGTTTCTCACTACCTCTACCACTACCATCTTCTTGCTCTCTTTTTTGTCTCTCTCAACCTTTCTCTCGTCTTCCTCTGCCTCACCTTTCCCTTTGCTCGATTGGCACTTCCTCCCTTCCTTGCCTATTTCCTCTCAAATGAGGTAGGAGGTGAATCGTATCAGTGCCATTGTAGTGGAGGGTGGCTGATAGGAGGCAGACCAAAGAACTGCTCGAATGCTTTGCAGATGATGGGCCAACTCAGGATAGCAAATGATTGCAGAACATCCCTGACATTTGAAGTATTTTATGTGCTGTGGAACACAATGATTGCTTCACTTTTGGATTTTCTGAACTGTGGCACTGGTGAGAGGAATGCTATTATGCAGTGTTTTTTTTTTACTTCTACAATTGGCGCTATACTTTAATACATTAGATATCCTCAAATTATATATATATAACTTGCTACATTAGTTATTTGGTTATTTCCAGTGAACTAAAGAGTTGTTTTAGTCCCTTCTTTGAGCTAACCCTGTGTAAAATCCCACTGTCTCAGGATACCTCCTTGCCATCCAGAATAACTATTTATATACCATTAACTGTCACTGCTTATTGTCATACTATTCATTATTAACCAAGAACTTTTGAGCTATCTTGCACTATTGCAGTGTTTGCGCAACCTGTCACTTTTCAACAGTGGCCATCCAACACTCACATAATTTGAACTTTTCACTCTGCTCAGACTAAAGTCCCCATGACACACTGGACAAATACGTGTCACCCCTACCTATATTTGTTTTCTCATCTGACTTCTCCAATCAGGTGAATTCCCTGTGTTTATCACCCTTTCTTTCTTTCTCCCCCCCATGTCCATTACTCTTATAGCCATACCATCAGCGTGCATCATGATGAGCTCTGGGCCCCTCAGCCCAAGTGATGTATTGGGGTACAGGGAGTGAACTCATCTCTGCTAAGGGATCCATTCAACTGTCACATCCTCCTGTGCTCCCCCACAGCCACCAATACAATAAGTCTGAATAATTTAGTTTCAGTGAGGAGAGATGTCCTAAGGTCCTGTCTTCTGATATTCGCATATCAGCCGGGTGAGTGTGATGAGAAAACCGATAGCCTTTATATTTTATGGAAGAATAAGTATTAAGAAATGTGGTGGATTTTTATGCATGTAATTGGACTGGAGTTATTCCGCTGGATATCATCTGCAAATCACAACTTCTTGTTACACAGGTGCCTTGACCTCTGACCTATTTACTACATTAAGAAAGCCTAACATATGGTATCTGTCAGGAGCTTTTTTTCTCTCTGAACCAATGGAAATTCTGGCAGATGAATTGACCTGAGTTTGGCTTGAATGCACCGTAGAACGCTTCATGGAGCACATATCCGGGAATCATCCACATTAATGGTTCATTATCTCCACTGAGTTGACAGGAAGTCTGCCAGGACTCCCAGGGTAGTAATATAATACTGTTGATAAAAAATCAGAAACAGACATCTTAGTGATACCATACCATTCATCCCACCTTCATGCGGCAGTGTGACAGTTTGAGTTGCCCAGACGGTCTGCCCATTTTTTAGCTGTAAGGTGCAGGTGTAGTTTCCAGCTGTGTCAGAGGTGATGGGTATGGGCAGAATCGTGGAGATGCTGCCAGGGCCGTTGCTTAACAATTTCAGCTGGCGACTCTTATTCTGGTATTTCCAATTGGCACTTTGGACCTGGGACCGTTCTGAGTACAGGCACCCCAACTCCAGCTTTGAGGAAGAGTGGCTGGTTTTAACTGTGGATGTGATGCAGAGCAGTGAGGGAGAGGGGAGAGGAACGTGGGAGGAAAGGGGGGGAGGTGTTAAAGAGGGATGAAACAAATGAGAATAAACAGAAGGAAAGATGAGTAAGTGAAAAAGACAGGCATGAGGGAAGAGAAAGGAGCGAGACGGGATGAGAAAGTGAGTTAAAGGGTAGTGTGTGAATATAAAAAAGGCCAAGGACACATAGAGAGTAATGGGGTAAAGGGAAAGTGATATGAAAAACAAAGAACAATTCAGAGAGGGGTCAAAATAATATATATTCATTAAAGTGATTTGCTGCTAATGCATTGGTTGACTGTGACTGATGCTTAGTGTCTCATCAAACCAAAATGAGAATTCATCTGGGTGTAATCAAGCTCCACAGACCCCCACACACACACGCACAAAAACACACACATTTCGGCTGGTTTGCTGACACAAACAGGAATATTCTACAACCTGAATTGACTGGTCTTAATGATGAACACACAGCAAGCAGTTTACTTCTTTCCTCCGAAACACTTGAACAACTTTCTACTCTAAATAACTGGACTACAGCTCTCCTGCTCCCATTTTCTTCTGTTTCACTCACTCACTCTCTCCTCATCTCTCTCACTCATATTCTCACAAATGCTCGCTCTGCTGTTGGCAGTCACAGGGTTTTATTTCCATACTCATCCTTTGTGTGTGTGTGTGTGGAAAAGCAGTAAAGTTTGAGAATGTCCAGTCAGCAGCAGTAGGCTACCGAAGAGCAGCAGCCTCTATTACACAAGGATCTGAAAGCTGCTCTCATCCCCTCACCCCTACTCATCATCTGTTTCCAGGGCTTGTGGTACAAAAAAAAGAAGGAAAAAAAAAGGAGGCCAAGAAATGGGATGCAATTTTAAATGAATTAGGCCGTGAAAAATTTTCAGGATGTCAAAATGTATTGGGGTGAAGGCGTTTATGTAATTGGAGCACTTGGTTCACTGGTATACAGCTCAAGAGAGGAAATTCTTTATTAGGACTGGAACGCACCGCACACACGCAACCCGTAATGAACACATACACAAATTCATAGGCTTTAATTTGTGCACATATGCGTTGGTGCACTCCTACGCTCACACCTGAGTGATGCGGTTGATGTACTCGACTGTGCTGACCTCATTTACATGTCCTCTTGAGGAGGTGTACTGTAAAGACGGAGGGGACAAGGCAGAAACAAGAGAGAGACAGAGAAGAGAGAGTATAGGAGAGGAGGGGAGAGGAAAGCAGAGAGAGGAGAGGGAGACAAACAGAGGGGAGAAAAGAAGAAAGGAGGGAGGAGAGAAAAGGAGAGGGGGGAAAAGAGAGGAGAGAGAGGATAGGGGACAATAGGAGACAAAAGGGGAGGTGAGGAGGGGAGAGGTAAGGAGGAGAGAGGGGAGGAGAGGAGAAGCAAGGAGAGAGAAGAGGAAAGGGGTATAGAAGATGTAAGGGCAGAAATAGAGAGAGGAGAGGAAAGGAGAGGAGAGAAATGTTTAGTGAAGAGGTGATGATAAAAGAAGACGAGTTGTGCAATGTAACGTGAAATGAAGGGGAGAAAGGGCTGAGATGTGAGGAGAGGAGCGGTGAGGAAAGGAGAGAGGAGATGAGAAGACCAAAAGAAGAGGAGTAAGAGGTAAAAACGAAGGGGAGGAAAGGCTAAAGAAAGAGGGAGGGAAGGATAAGGAAATAAGGCAGGGAAAGAGGAAGCGAGGGAGAGCGTTTGGGGAGGAGAAAAAGATGGGGTGTAAAAGGGTAGATGAAAGCGAGGGAAAGTTGAAAGGTAAAGGGGGTGGAGAAATGAATGAAGACTGTGGCGAAGGAAGGCAGGGATGGAGAGAGGGAGGGAGGGAGGTTGGCGGAAGAGGAAGGGAGGGAGTGAAGGGAAAGGGAGGAGGGTTGATCTCTGGGGTTTGAAGCACATTAGTATTCATGGGGAAGAGGAGGCCACAGACAGCAGAGAAACAGAGGGACCAGACTGAGAGCAGCATACCACACACACAAACATAAATACACTCACACTGCATGTAAGCAAGCACTCACACATCTCTCTGTATATGTGCCCACACACACACACACACACACACACACACACACAGAGCCTATGTATCATGTGGATTTAGATGCTACAGAGGGCCTAACCACTCCTTGTGCTGAAAACAGAGACAATTGCACTCCATCTCTTTTAATATCTCCAGGTTACACACATTAATGTGCATACAGGCCCTGAAAAAATCCTCCCAAGAGATGGTTTAGCGGTTCAGGCTTTCCGAAAACCGCACGCACCCCTGCTGGCCTCGGATCGAATCCCGCTTCAGAAGCGTCTCTCCAGTGCTTTCACCGCTTCGCATCACCTTCCTCCCTCCTTGCTCTGTCAATAAAAGCAGAACATACCGGAGGGCTGTAGATGACGTCTGCTCGCTTCACTTTTCCTTTTTTGAAAAAGAAGACCTCGACCGCTAGTGTATACCTACAGAAGCGGAGGGGAGCGAACGAGTGCAGGTGACTCATTTCACTGTGGGAGAGAAAGGGGCTGGGTTGAGCTCTGGGGAAAGGGTGGAAGACAGGAAAGATTCCTATCGTGTTGGAGGCCACTTGCAAAACACCGCTGACGGTGGCAGGAGGAGAGCAGGGAGAGGGAAGAGGAGGTGGAGGGAGAAACAGCAACACTCTCTGGGTGTTCTATTCTTAGTCTCTTTTCCTCAGACTTTGGGTGTACGCGCGTGTGTGTGTGTGTGTGCGGGCATGTGTGTGTGTTTGTGTATGTTGTTAGTTAGTGGGGAATTCATCATTTCCTGACACTCGAAACACTAAACAAACAGGGGAGCCTCTAGCCTCTAATTATGCTGTACGCTCCAGCACTTAAACTTATTAGCACCGGAGGGGATGTTTTCGTGTGTTTGTGTTTGTATGTGTCCTCTCTGTGTTTTTACCAAGGTGGTCCAAGTAGTGTGTTAAGTTGATAACCACTTTGATGCGTGCTGATGTGGCCTCTAATTACTCCGTATACATGCCTGCTGGGTGGTTGACAACACGTTCTCACTCCCAACTCATCATATATGCCCGCTTGGTCAGTGGGCCTACGCTTCAAACTATGCTACTCTACGTACTGCTCTACCATCAGTTTTACACGTGCATAGCTCTGCTGTCAAGTTAGCAATAATATATATGCAACGTCTGGTTATACTTTCAAAATCAAGCTTGCTATGTTATAAAATGGTGGCAGTTTGGTTAGATTTAGCAAACAAAACCACTTGGTAAGGTTAAGTAAAGTTCATGATTTGGGTTAAAATAAGTAAGTTAGTAAAGTCACTCAAGGCACCAGTGTGTAACATTTTGGCATCTAGCAGGGAAGTTGCAGACTGCAATCATTTGAATACGGCTCAGATTTCCAATAATGTAGGAGAAACTACTGTGGCTGCGAAACATGCAAAATACGCAAAAGGCCCTATCTAGAGCCAGTGTTTGTATGGTGGTTCATCATAGTGGCCCCGTCTGTAGATATAAACGTCTCATTCTACCGTAACAGAAACAGAACAATTATTATTTCAGGTGATTATACACTAAAAGAACATACCTATGAATATTGTATTCCATTTCTGCCAATAGATCCACCTAAATGTTGCACATAGTTTTAAAACGTTAGACGGTTGAGTTGAGGCCCACAGATGATTTTCGAATACTGAGAATTGAGAGTCAGCCTTACTAATTAAACATTTGGAAAGCCATTTTGTTGTTGTAAATCTTTACTTCCAATTATTGAGCACAGATGGTCTTTCTCCCCACACTTACCCATTATATACTGATGCAGTTTGACAGAGTTGTGCTGTGAGGTGCCCGTTTCAAACACAGTATTTTACTGGTGGACCCAGGCATCTCTTTGTTTTTCAAAAAAGACATGAGTAAAAAAAAAAAAAAAGATGGCAAGTCACGCCTTGATAATGTTGTGATTTATTCATTTAACAATGAGCAAATCTGACAAATCAGAATAAAGCCTTAATCAGAGCAAATATGTCATAAATAATTGTTCTGTTTTCATTAATTTAATCTTTCTTCATTCAGGCAGTCTCATTTAAGATTAAGATCTCTTTTCCAAGAGAGACCTGAGCACCAAAAAAATTAACAATCCACAAACAGAAACAACACAACTGTACAATATACAAGGAATGAATGAAAATAGTTACAAGAAAAAAGAAAAAAACATCAGATAATAAAGCTTTAAAATCTCCATGGGGAATGTAAGAGTCTAGTTTGAGGGCAGTTTGCAGTTCCTTCCACTTATAAGGTGCATCATACCTAACACCAACATTAGTGAGTACATGAGGGATATCTAGGGTTAAGTAGTTAGTGGATAGATAAATTAACATGAGATGTCTATTTCTTCGTGACTGTAAGGAAGTCCATCCATTCTGAGACTACATGCTTCCATGTGCTATAGTATGCTGCAGGGGGATGTGTACTGTATGTGTGCAAGCTGCCTGCTGCATTCAGTGAATTAGCCGTCGTGCATTGCTCATGCAGGCATTTTCTAGGGTTTGTGCTTTAAAGTCAGATTTGCAGCACAACATATAAAAATACATTCAAACACACTAACAGCACATTTTATTTGGGCACTTTGTTTTCATATCTGGGTAAGAATTTGCAACCTATGTAAACTGTCACATAAACAGTAACAGGGCTATTCTGATTTGTCACAAGGAATTCCCAAAGTACGAGTGTCAGCTGAGGGTTACAGTTGTCACACCAACTGACACATTCGCTCGTCACTCGAACTGACAGATTTGCTCGTCACTTAGAGCCACAGGGAAGAATCGGAAGGAGAGACAGGGAATCAGAAACAATAAAAAAAGGGAAAACATTGAAGTAATCAGGGAGATGGTTAAAATATGTGTAAGACAGAGTAACGTGTAATGAGGAAAGAACAGACGGAGGTTTGTAAGCTCTATGTATACATACTGTATGCAGACTGTGTATGTCTGTGTACCACAGACCAGAGTAATAAACAGGGTCTATCTCTGTGACCTCTGTGGTACAGAGTGGCAGAAGAGTCAAACCTGATCGATAACTCAGTGACTCTCCTCCTCGTTGTGTATTCTCAGATGTAAGGAAACACAATCCCAGCCATTAAATATTATTGTACAGACAGTAAGACACAGCATACAGTCCCAAAGGCACTCTACAGGATGCTTATTATAGTATATATGCATGAGGGCTATTTTTATTTCCTTTTAAAAGTAGGGTTAGCTTTTTATTGTGCAAATTTGTGGTACTATCATACTTTCCCAGTTTACTCTTTATTACTATTAACTTACTTTATATTATTCTGTGCAGGCATGAGACAAACCTGTTGAACATTGTCCTTTTTGGAGGAAGCAACTTTTAGAATCATGGATACAAAAACTGTTAAAATCCAAAAATCTCTAACTGCAACTGGTCGAGGCAGATGGCCACCCACCTAGAGACGGGGTTGTCCGAGTTTCTGCCTCTAAAAGGAAGTTTTTCCTTGCCACCGTCGCCAGTGCTTGCTCATGGTGGGAACTGTGGGTCTCTGTAAATATTTTTAGTAGTAGCAAGTCTAACCTGCTCTATTTGAAATTCCAGCTTCATTTGTTGTTATTGTTTCTAAATCTGCAAAAGTACACAAAACAATTAGTTTTGGGGGGCTTAGGGGGTTACAATACTGGGAGGTTTGTCTCCATATTACTAACAGTAAGAAAATAAAATGAATGAAAATGAAATTGATTGGAGTGTATTCTTTGGGTTGGATATGATCAATGATATAGTGCGTTCTGAGAAATGTGCATTTGTATTTGTACCTAGAGAGACAGTCAGAATGATCTTCTACCTGTCTGCATTAGCTGCACAGCAGGCAGAGCTCCGCAGGCTGCCAGTCAACCTGCTTTCCCCATCTGGGAGCTTTGATCGCGGGGGAGGTGGCAGCAGGGATCTGGGTAGTATAACATGAGCTCTGGGTGTTTGGGTGTCTCCTACATTCTTCAGACAGAGCAGCTAGCCACCAGACTATAAAACACACTTGTTCTCTTGGAGTCAGCTACTTGTCTGACATTGTCTGAGAGGGTAAATCTATACATATTATCATTTTGTTGTCCATTTTTCTCCTATTAATTCTGTTTACTTAAATTTAATTTAGCTTTACTTCATACTGCAAACTATATGTTCTTTTGTATCTTTGTTGTTTATTCTGTGTGTGTGTGTTT